GCAAAATATTTTCCGCATAATAACTCAGTGAGGCAGGTAAGACAAATGTGCCCCACTAGAAGAGTGGCAATAATCCATATTTACTTGTATGTTGTCAATAGAAAGGTATCATGTCCCTGTATTAATTATCCAGCAAAGGAGCTTTACGTTGTCCACCAGGTAATACTCTCCAGGAGCTATCAGTCCATTAGCCATCCCAATTCTTCTCCATCTCCCCCAGCATGTATAGTATAGTCCCCTTAAAAGGTTTCAGTATCCCCATTGGTGCTCACTGGTGCTCAGCAGTAGGGGCTGAGCTTACAGATGCTTAGAACACCCTCCTCATCTTCTCATCCCTGACTCACCTCTCCTGTCTTCAAGTAACGAGAGATTTGGAAGGGGACACTATGGATTTTGCTTAAAATAAAAACAATGTGAAATCTACAGTTCCTACATGATTCTAGAGCCCCTACCCTGCATCTGGAATTTCCTCTGTCACTGAAACCCATAATCATAGGACTTGGTTACTCAGCATACTGTGGCCACAGAATTTCCTGAACATAGTCAAAATGGAAAGAAACTAAGTTTAAAAACTTTCCTAAATGGAGTTATTTGCCTCCATTCATTTCTTCAAACCTTCTGCTAACACTCCAAGATCTTTGGGGTTCCAGGAGACAGTCTCAAACCATCTTCACCCACCGGTCGTGGGAAGGATCAAGTCAAGGGTTTTCATGTCTGGGACTCCATCTCTGGGTTAGGTACTATAAGAAAGAGAAGTACTGTGGGAAAGGGCAATCAGCCCCTCCATTTCACCAGGTCATGGGATTTTCAATGGCTGCCCAATCTTCACCTGGTTTCTGCTCCCAGATGGGGCTTTACGTTTTTCTGACCTAGGGGATTGATGATCACAGTCTTGGCTCTCTTTCTCCTCTAGACTTTCATGCTGTCAAAGCCTCCCATTTCCAATCTCATCGTCTCAGTGCAAGTCATGGTGCTGTGCCTGGGATATCCCAAATCTCCAGGGCAAACAGCTGGACAAGGGTCCCCTCACCTATTGCATATCTTTCCACTTCCCTGTCTTTTTTGTGAGGCTTGTTGCCTGTGACCACTGAGCTTCCCTCTCCTCTCATTATGTCCCATAAAATATTAGGGGAAGTTTTGTTTTTGATGGTGACCATCTCACAAATTCTGCTCTAGTTTTCTCTCATTGGCATTGCACTGACTGCATGTGTAAGGGAAGAGATTCCACTCCCACCCCAATTAATATAGGAGGCCCAGAATATTGTCCCAAAGTATCAAATATGTGCTAAGGAATTTTCCTGCAAGGCCACAACAATTAGATTTTAATGTGTAAATAAAATTAATCTAGGCCTCACTCCTGTATCAGGTAAAAATTCTTCTCTGGTTGTGTCAAGAAGGAAACAGTGTGATTGAGTGAATCAGTCAAATCTCCTGGGTCTATATTTTATAACAAAACCCACAAATAGCAATTAATTCAGCAATATGGGAGTTCAGCATTCCAGGCTTGGGAGCTTTTAATATAGTGGACTCCTTGGCTTCTACAAAGGAGAAGCAGCAGAAGGGGACTTTGTGTCCCTCCCTCCCACTCTCCGCCCCTCATGTCATCAGAGCAATAGGAGACAATGCAGCCATGCAAGGAGCAGAGATACATTGACACAGTTAAAAAGATACAGTCGATACAGTTATTGAGAGGAAGAAGAAGCTTCAGGGAATGTGACCCCTTGTAATGGTGAAGAATGTTAGCTATGGCTTCAAGAAAAGAGCTGACCCTGGGATTCCTTTTCGTATTTCTTCACTTGCTAGCAGAGCTGACCCCTGCTGCTGGTAGCAAACACACAATCCCTTCCCTTGATCTTTCCCATGACCTTTAGGGTGGGGGTAAAGATTGATCAATGCTTCAAGATCATCTCCTTGACACTTTAAGAGGGAATGTTGAGAGGTTTGGAAACATTGGGTGTAGTATTAGAGAAATTTGGAGAATTTTTTAATACAGAAATAAAATTTTTAAATATAGAAATATAGAAAAAAATAAAAATTTTAATATAGAAATAAATTTAATATAGAAATTTGGAAACATTTTTAATATAGCTTCAATATACTGTGTGGCTATAGAATGTCAATTGCCTGTATGATATAAATATAGAAGGTCAAGGGTGAGCTAGGACATTTCCCAGAGGCAGAGTGGGGGCTCTGGATCTATAGATATTGCTATTTTTATGATTCTGAGCAATAGGCTAGAATTTAAAAAAACAGTAAGGATTTTTTTCATGACAGGTAAAGCTGGAATCTCAATGAGACAAGACCACTGGCCTGTTTACTTGTGTATAGTGTCTACCTGGTGGAGGGAACTATATATACACACACATATAGATACATATTCATACTATATACATACACACATACACATTCATAGACATAATATGTATTAATTAGAGGAAGGGAATAAGCATTTGTTCTTATCTACTATGTGCTAGGCATTATGCTAAGCCATTTACAAATATTGTCTCATTGGGATCCTCACAAAGTCCCTGTGAGGTAGTTGCTGTTATTATCTCCATTTTACAGTTGAGGAAGTTGAAGCAAACAGAGGTTAAGTGACTTGCCCAGTGTCACACAGCTAGTAAGGGTCAGTTTGAACTCAGGTCTTTTTGACTCCAGGCCTGGCATTCTATTCACTACACCATTTAGCTGTTTTATTATATAATTCTTTGTTGGCAAATTCATTGTAAAGTGACGCTTTTTTCTTGTGGGCTTGTTCGGGCTGCTGCTTCAGCATTTCTTGCTACCTGGGATAACTACCACGTGCATATCCATCCTAAAGCCAGTGTCATACCTATTTTACTAATGAGGAAAGTGAGGCTTAGGTAGGTGACTGGTCCATGATCACACAACTAGTAAACAGTGAAAATAGAAATGGAACCTAGGGAGTTCTTTCCATTGCACCACCCTCACAAGGGGGATTTGACTTGGCCCCCAAAGGAAGAAGTAGGAGTGACGGTTGGAAGTTACTAAAAGGAGAATTTACACAACTCCCCACTTCGTTCCCCTTAAAAGGGCAGTATGAGTAGGAAGACAGAAGGAAAATCTTGAGCATTTGTTCCAGTAGAATGTACACTCCTTGAGTCTAGGGACTATTTTTGTTTTTTCATCTTATTTCTTGTCCTTAGTACCTCATTGTACTTAATACTTGTAAATTATTTTTTCTTCTAATCACATTCATTCCCTTAGCACAGGTTTCCCCTGGGCATCTGGGCTTCTAATGGGAGGCATAGGGTCCAGAGGTGGCCAGGGGCTGCTGAAGGAGTCGTCCTTGGATGGGCAGGAGATGGGTAGTGGTGTATTGGGGAGAAAAGGCAGACAGCACAGAATGTCGGGTTAGGAAAATTCTCCTCCTCAGCTGATACAGGAACCTTGGTTTCTTGGACACTAGCTCCCAGCAGCCACAGATTGGTATCTGGACAACTCTCGGGGAAGAGACCGGGAGGCAGGAGAGGATACTTGTTGAAATCAGTACAGGTGAGTGAAAAGCTGGAATCAGGGGGCACGTTCTTTCTTTTCTTTTTTTGGCCCAGGGTCACAGTTTGTGTCAAGTGTCTGGTCTGAGACCGGATTTGAACTCAAGTCCTCCTGACTTCGGAGTCGGTGCTCTAACCACTGTGCCACCTAGCTGTTTCCCCCCCCCGGGAGGGGGCATTTTCTGTGCCCTAGTGAACCATTCCAGTGCTTTCTTTCAGATATAGCTGGGGAGGCTGAAAGGTAATGGTCAGGGCAGAGGGGGAAGGGAAGCTGGATAAGTTTACTCCCTTGCTTGTCATCACCTCCTAAACACCAGGCTGATGAATCTCTCACTCTCTGCTGGAGAGTTAAAGAGAGTTCTTGTACTTACTCCAAAGTAAATGAAGATGGGAGACGGTGGCCTGGCTGGAAGCCAAGGAAAGAACTCTCAAACTCATTCTGGAAGACCAGTTCCCTGGGAGGGTTAGAGCTTTCCTGCCTCCTGGAGATGCTCTGTGTGTATGAAGGCTAAAATGACTCCTAACGGGGCATCGTTTTTGGTTTGGGTCACCTCATCTCCCTAGCATTTTATTTCTATCCCATTTCAAATGCTTTGGGAATAAATGGCCTCTATTGAATTGAGTTCCCTAGAACACTTATTTCCTTCTTCGTGGAGTTTTGGCTGACTTTTTATGTCCATGAAATGGGTCAGGTTTGTGAGGTTAAAAAACGGCTCTTTGGCAAATCTATTTGCTAGCAGTGTGATCGCGGACAAGTCACTTAGCTTCAGTTTCCTCCTCTATCCAACACACATAATAATGCTTGAATTATTACTTAATGTTACCAGAGTCAAGGACAGCGCTTTCCAAACCTTAGTTGTTCCTAGGATCCTATAATTTTGGAATTTACTATCCAATTGCATTGCAGAGACAAAATCCCTCCCCAAACCTGATGTCAAGTATGTAAGCTCCTCCCTCTACCCGCCTCTTTGGTAAATCAGTATCATCTCTGGAATGAACCATTTATATGATGAGGGAGGAATTTAACTTTGTCTAGGTATATTGGTGTTACGATGCCAATAATGACAACGTCTCTAAAAAATCCTTAAGATATCATTATAGTTCAATATTTTAAAGGTATATAGAACTCTAAAGAGGGGCAAATTAAAATTTACTTCCGGAAGTTTTTATATACTTCCCCTTCGGATCAAATGAGTATGCTCATCCTGCCCCCTCTTCCGACAAAGGAGGCGGAGTCGGGGAAGTGGAACATTCCAGGGCGGGGTTGGGTTGGCCCAAGGGAGAAAAGCTGGGGGGAGTATTTCGAGGAGAAGGCTTTCGGGCGGTGATAATATCTTTCGCTTTCCCGTGAACTAATTCTCTTTCCTCTGTTTAATAAATATTTACGTTTGGGAGGATCCTATGCAGTTTCAGACAAGAAGAGGAGGGAATCTCTCCTTTTTCCCTTCCCCCCCCACCGTTTGGTTGAGTCCTTTTCTCCCCATGTGTATCTGGGGTAGGCGGGTCAGAACAGTTTTCCAGGTTGGGGGCCGTCGAGGCGTTGGGGGTCCCATGGCTCCAAGGGCCAAGTCTCCGCGGCTGGTGCTCCTGTTTAGCGGCAAGAGGAAGTCCGGGAAGGACTTCGTGACGGATGAGTTGCGGAGCAGGTAGTCAGCAGGGATGGGTGAAAGAGGTGTCAAATTTAGGACAGGTGCAGGGTTCACTTAGGGAGGAGGACGGGTGTTTGGCGTCACTTGCTGGGTCGGTGGAAGGGGGTTGAGGGGTCGATGCCATGTAAGTAATGCATTGTTTGGCACAGACCTTCTCTCTTAGGACATAAGTTCCTTGAGGGCAGGAATGTTTTTTGTTTTGGTTTTTTGGTCTCCGGATCCTCAGCACTTTGTAACTTGTACATAGTAGGCTCTTTTAATCAATGCTTGCTTTAAAAAATTATTCCTTTGTTGGTTGAGCCTTTGTTGTTTTTCATACTACTGTCACTGTCAGTTCCTAAAGTCCTCAGCCCCTCCACCTGCCCACCAGAGAAACCTCCCCCGAAATAAAGACATGAAATGAAACAAACCGCTACTGCCGTTGTGTCAGACAGTGCATGCAGCTTTTTGCACATGTAGTCCACCACCTCTGTACAGATCAGAAAGTAGTGGTCATTATTATTGACACCTGGAACCAGTCTTTCAAATCTTTGTTAATCAATGCTTATTGCATTGAAAGAAACCAGGCTGTAGACCATATATATATATATATAAATACATATATATATATATATACACACATATATATGTGTATTTATCTGTGTTTTATTGTATTTTATTTGTTTTGTTGAATATTTTCCAATTACATTTTAATTTGATTGAGGCAGCACTTGGTAATGTTGGGCCTCAAGTTTGATATTACACAACACTGGCACCTTCCCCCCTCTCCCCCCTTTTTCTTGGAGCCTGCTGGGTGATGAAAGTGAATAGAGTGTTTGACCCTTTTCAAACTCAAAAAATGAGTTTGAAGTGGCGCTACATGAACAAACAAGGGGTTTAGGCTTTTTGGATCATAGGATTTAGAGCTGGAAGGAACAGTAGAGATCAATGCCTCATCTACTCTTCTCATTGTAACTGATGAAGAAACTTAGGCCCATATAAATGGAGCGACTTGCCTAGTATCACACAGGAATTGAGCGGCAGAGCTGGGATTAGAACCTAGGGCTTCTGATTCCAAATTCAGCCAGGCTCTTTGCTCTACATCAGCCATGTCAGATTCGAAAGAAAGGAGGACACTAATCTGTACATAAAGATCTCTGTGGACTGCGTATTGACTTAGTTTTAAAATGTAATGTTATCTGTGTTTTATTGTATTTTATTTATTTTGTTGAATATTTTCCAATTACATTTTAATTTGGTTGAGGCAGCACTTAGGAATGTTGGTCCTCAAGTTGGATATCTTTGTGTCTTCACACAACACTGGCACCTTCCCCCCTCTCCCCCCTTTTTCTTGGAGCCTGCTGAGTGAAAGTGAATAGAGTGTTTGACCTGGAAGACCTGTGTTCAAATCCTGCCTCAGAAACTTAGTAGCTATATGATGATGTTGGATAAGTCATTTAATAGCTGCTAGCCCCAGTTTCCTCATCTGCAAAATGGGGATAACAGTACTTACTTCATAGTTGTTGTGAGCATCAAATGCCATAATTTATGTAAGGTACTTTGCAAACTTAAAATGGAAAATAAATGCCATTAGAGTTATTATTTTAAACATCTTGATTAACTTTTAAGAAAGGTACTCCTATAAAGGCTGAGGAATAGGAACATGGGGAGTAGGTTCCAGGCTACAGTTGAGGGAGAGAGGGTGCCTTGTTGAAACGCAGGGTTGGTGGAAATGTCCTGGGCTGGCTGCTTAATACTGAAGGGATTTGGGTTTGGGGGAGAGCATGGGTAGGGCTCTGTAGCTCAGTGTTCAGTCCATCCCATAGCTCTCAACTATCCTCGGACCAGAGCATTCTTAGCCAAAAAATCACTGAGCTCCACAAGAGTGCTTCCTGTTGGGCAGGGGCCTATTTCCTTTTCAGTCTTGTGCCCATAGAGCAATAATAAATGCTTCAGGAATTGAAATGACTTGTCATCCCTATGCACAGGTGTGTGTGTGTGTGTCTCTCTCTCTCTCTCTATATATATATACACACACACATATATATACATATATATGTATTTATATATTGACAACACATATTTTTGTATATAACCATATAAATAGAATGATAGATAGGTAGATAGAGCTGAATATGTGATTATCATCTACCTGGGGAAACTCCTGGTATGGAAACTTCTTCCACCCACACATATCTGTAACTCTCTGTAACTTAAAATCTTATTAGTGAAGTTGCCTGGGGCACTGAGTCATTAAGGAATTTACCCTTGGTCACACAGGGAATATGTTTCATTGGTAGGACTTGCTAGATCTTCCTTACTCCTTTGGAAGCCCTCTAGATCCACAATGCCACGGGTCAGTTGTCCTGCATGTGTTGGATAAAATGTTTTTTGATTCCTGTTAGAGTTGCTGAAGGAAGGATTCATACTTTGGGTAGGAGTAGACTAGGGTGTTTGGATTGTCTTTGGAGTGGTTGAAGGCTCTGGCCCAGGTGCCTCAGAAGGACCGGAGTTCAAAGCCAGCCTCAGACATTAGCTGTATGACCCTGGACAAATCACTTGACCTTGTTTACCTCAGTTTCTTCATCTGCAAAATGAGCTGGGGAAGGAAATGGCAAACCAGTCCAGTATCTTTGTCAAGAAAATCCCAAATGGGGTCATGGAGAGTTAGAAATGACTGAAATGATTCAATAACAACAACAAAGGAGTCAGACTAGGTGGATTGGGTGGTCTTTTCCATCTCTGGGATTCCAGGATTCTACCCTCCTCTTCTAGCTTTCTCTTCTGATGTCTTTGATTTAAGCAGATCTGAGATCCTGTTTTGCAGATCTGAGGTCCTGTTTTGATTTTAGCATCAGTCTTAAAAGTCACAGACTTTTCAGGCTGAAAGGGATCTTGAAAGTTTCAGAGAATGTCCCAGTTGAAAGGGATCTAAACCATCTAAACCAGCCCTCTTTATTTTTTAGAGGAGGAAATGGAAAGGAAAGTAGGTTGTTCAGTCATTTAGCAGTAAGCAATTATTAAGTGCCTTCTGTGTGCCAGGCATTGTGCTAAATACTGAGGATACAAAGAAAGACAAAAGACAGTGCCCTGGAGGTGCACACAGTCTAATAGGGGAGACAACAAATTGTAGGATAAATTGGAATTAGTTAAGGGAGAGAAACCACAAGAATTAAAAGGACTTGGGACAGGATTCCTGTAGAAGGTGGGATTTTAGTTGGGACTTGAAGGAAGCCAAGGGGCTGAGATGAGCAGGGAGAACATTCCAGGTAGGAATGAGAAGACACCTGGAACAGAGAGACAGAATGGCTTGTTCATGGAGCAGCCAGGAGGCCAGTGTCACTGAACATAGAGTACTTGGAGGAGGTGGTGTATGGTGTCAGAAGACTAGAAAGGTGGGAGCTGGTGGGGGAAATAGGTTATGAAGGGCTTTAAACACCAAGAAGAGGATGTTGTGTTTGATCTTAGAGGTGAAAGGGAGTCACTGGAGTTTCTTGAGGAGCAGGGCATGATGTGGTCAGACCTGCACTTTAGTAATATAACTTTGTTGGTTGATTGGAGGATGGATTGGAGTGGGGAAAGATTGGAGTCAGGCAGCCCTGCCTGCAGGTTATTGCATAGTCCAGGCATGAGGCAATGAGGCCCTGCCCCAGGATGGCAGCAGAGCTGGGACTTAAATCAGGGTCTGGCCCCCTCTCTCCCTGTCTAGGCACTAGGTACATACAGTTCATCTCTTTAAGGCAGGGAGTCCCCCATTTTGATGAGAGAGTTCTTAGAAAAACACATTTCATAGTTAGCTTCCCATGGTGACTTATCATTTTGAACAGTTCTCAACAGCAGGATGTTTTTCCTCTTCTCTAGCCTGAATCTCTCATGCTGGTGAGGTAGCTGGTGGAGTCACGGGCTCCCCAGGTTGTGGGAAAAGTCTACTGAATGGATCTTTCAAGGGTAACTCAGTCCTGCCAGAGGGGAGTGGTAGGTGCTGGGCTGTCCTAATGGTACAAGTGTTGGCTTGAAGGTGGAGCAGAACACTGGGTGGGGAGATGCAGGTTGAAGTGAGCTAACCCAGTTCTGGCCTTGGGGGTTATCTTCCCATCCCACAGGCTGGGGACGGATATGTGTGCTGTGCTTCGGCTCTCTGGACCCCTCAAGGAGCAGTACGCCCAGGTATGTCATGTATCTGCTTCGCCCCTGAATTTTCCAGCTCAGCTTGGTAATTAATGCTCATCTGCAGGTAAGCTGTAACATGTCTTTCATCTCAGGCTGGCATCTGCCTGCCCTAGCCCACTTCTGGGCTCCACTTTTGTTAGGTGGTATGCCTTCAGACAGGACAGGCTTTTAAGTCAAGTCAGCAAGCATTTAGTAAGTGCTTTCTGTGTGCCAGGCACTGTGCTAAGTAAGACCTGGAGATACAGATTCCAGCAGAAAGACAGTCTCTGCGTCTCTGCCCTCAAGGAGCTTCCATTCTAATGGAGAGGAGAGAAGACAATGTGTAAAAGCTGGGAAGGGGTAGTATCCTCATGGGCACGTGGTGGAGAAAGCCTGGAGAGTTAGGAGTGAAGGCCGGAGGGGAATGATGCCTTACACTCCTACTCACAAAACTCCAGTAACTTCCTATTTGCTCCCCACTCCCAAGTGGACATAAGCTTCCGGGGGGCAGAGACTACTTCATTTTTGTTTTTGTACCTTGCATAATACCTAGCATACAATAGGCACCTAATAAATGCTCTCTGTATTGAATTCTCTCCCGTTGCTCTGCTGGATTATTCACAGTTCCCCAAACATACCTGGTACTTTCCTGCCCCCATGCTTTTACTTTTGCCCTCCACCAGGTCTCTACCTGTCAGAGTCGTATTCCTCCTCCAGGGCTTGTTTCAAATGTCACCTCTTTCATGAAGCCTTCCTTGGTCTTCCTCTACTCAGCCAGAAGTGAACAACTCTCCGTTTTCAAAAGAGCATCTTGTTTGTCCCTTTCTGGTGGCAGTTATCACCAACTAACTTATTTCTGGAAAAGCCAAATGGTAGCTCTTATCTCCTGTGTTGGATTGTCAGCTCCTTGATGGCAGCCCCACAAGCTTCCTTTAGGGCCCAATAAAGGTTTGTTGCCTCAGTGTCATTTATGGGGCAGTGGTCAGCGCCTGACCCTCTGCCCAAGCTCAGTCACAGTGCTTGAAATGCCATCTTTGGAGAGCTGTTAATAGAATTCCTAGCTGGAAGACACCTTAGGGGTGCGTGTCACCTCTTCAAGTCTCACTTCTCCAGCCCCTCCTCAGCTCAACACCCACAGCGACGTTCATAAAGCACAGGTCTGACCATGTCACCCCCTGGCTCACAGAACTCCAGGGCTCCCTTTCCTCTGGGATCAATAGAAACTCTGGTACTTGATACCCTTTATCATCTTGCTCTAGACCATCTCTCCGGCCTTATTATATGTTGCTCCCCTTAATGCATTCCACAGTCCAGGTCTTCCTTCCTTGCCTCCAAAAGTCTCAAGTCCCACCTCTGCATTTTTGCCTTGCCCATTGCCCATGCCTCAAATGTACTTACTCTTTTTTCAGCTCTGCCTCTTAGGATCTCTAGTTTCCATCAAAGCTCAGCTCCAGGTGCCACCTTCTACATAAGGCCCTTGGATTCTTGGGGCCTCCCTGACCAAATTACCTTGTATTTATTTTGTATATAGCTATATCCTGATAGAGAGCATTTATATACAGCTTTAAGGTTTGCAATGTGCTTTACAATTATTATCTAATTTGATTCTGACAACAACCTTAGAAGACTAATATTATCCCTATATTGTTGTTGTTTAGTCATGTCTGACTCTTCATGATCCCTTTTGGGATTTTCTTGGCAAAGATTCTGGAGTGGTTTGCCATTTCCTTCTCCAGCTCATTTGACAGATGAGGAAACTGAGGCAAACAGTTAAGTGACTTGCCCAGGGTCATACAGGTAGTAAGTATCTGAGGCTGGATTTCAACTCAGGTCCTCTTAAGTCCAGGCCCAGTATTTTATCCAGTGTTCCACCTGGCTGCTCCTATTTTACAGGTGGGGAAACTGAGGCTGAGAAAGGTTAAGTAACTTGCCCAGGATCACACAGCTAGGAAGTGTCTGAGGCAGGATTCAAATACAGGTCTTCTAGGTCTAGCACTCTATCCACCATGCTACCCAACTGGCTCAAAGAAAAAGGGGAAAAAAGGGGCTGGTCCAGTATTCTTCTACCAAGCCTCATTGGTGGAAGGCTTTAATAGTTTAAAAATGCACTAAGAAAAAAAAAATGCACTAAGAATTTTAGGAGCACCCTGGATATATGTGTGTGTAAGCATACACACATATGTGTGTAAGGACACTTGCTTGGGCCTATGCATGTATATACAAATGTACATGTACACACAGTATATAAGCACACATACAATGCATACATTTATATGTATATCCTGTACACATTTATATACATATCCCACACATGTGTATGCACACATGTAAACTATGTGTGTGCTCATGTAAAAAATCTATGAGTGGGTATGTGTATATAAATACTTGTTAATGCATGGATTGAGTGATCTGGGCCAACTTTCTGGTCACTGGTGACCCCCCAGCCTCTGAACTTTTCTAATGTCATGGTCCTCTTTGAGAACAAAAGACAAACAACAATTAAGTACATGCAGTGCTTGGGTAGGCGGCTGGATGACTCAGTGGATAGAGTGCTGGGCTTGGAGTCAGGAAGCCCTGAGTTCAAATCTGGTCTTAGACATTCACTAGCTGTGTTACTTTTTGCAAGTCACTTAACCCTGTTTGCCTCAGTTTCCTCATCTGTAAAATGAGCTGGAGAAGGAAATGGTAAAAACCACTCCAGTATCTTTGCCAAGAAAACCCCAAATGGGGTCATGAAGAATCAGATACAACTGAAATGACTGAACAGCAACCGGGGGTAAGGAGGATGCTGGTTAGCTTTCCCTCCAGCCCACCCCACAGAGGGCAGCCCTGTTTGCTAGAATGCTCTTATCTCCTGCTGAGGAACTTGCCCCTTCAGAGCTTCCCGTTGGCTCCACGATGGTCTTCTAGAGCAACAAGGAACAAGTCAGCTGCTCTAGTTTTTTTCTCGGTGTCTCGAGCCGGTTCTTGTGTTCCCGTTTCCCCTTCTCCAGGCTGAGCATGCTGGGTCTTGGAGTCAGAGGGCTGCTCTGACCCCCCTCAGGTTACAGAGGAGGTGTCTGCGGCTCTGAGCTGAAGAATGGACTTGCCCCCTCCCCCCATCCCCCAGTGACTTTGGACCAGAGCCAGGCTCAA